GCCATGACCAGCCCCTAAATCAGCCTCTAAACCATCCAACAATCAGCCTCCAACAGCTCATCTACAAAAATCAGGATTGACCTGGGCAGCTAGCACAGTAACCGAAATCCCTTTAAATAAAATAGTAAACGAACTCCAAAAATTCTAAATTTTGGTTATATCATAGAAAACACCTTAATAAACATTTCTTATGAAGAACACAAAACCCATTTCAATCTGAAACCATGTCCTTTTGTCACCCGAAGCCAGGCAGAAATCAGCTCGCTCAAACAGGGTACTCGGTCCTCAAAATATATTTCTTTCAGTCCTCAAATCACCTTGAAAAGATTTGAAATTTTTATATGTCATAGACAAGAAATTCAGCAACAAATTTTGTGAAGAAAGTATTCTGAAAAGAGGTCTGAAAAATTTTATAGAAAATCGGGAATACGAGTCGATCGGAGAAACAATATTTTCGGCAAGTTGGACAAGGTTCGAAAACCGACTTACGAATGACCCAAAACGACTTCCAAAAATTATGAATTTAAATTATGTTATACCTCAGGATATTAGGAACAAATTTCATGAGAACATTACCCCAAATTCGGCTCACAACAGTCCCCACAAAAAAAAAACAAACTGGACGGGTACAGCAGTCACAAATCCGAGGTTCAAACCCGACTTCCCCGATTCAAGTTCTAGCTCATACCCACGAATCTCCAACCCACCAAACTCATTCTAAGAGGTCTCAACTAGCATGCAACAGCCACTAACGACCCCTATCAGCCACCAACAACCATGATTAGCACCCTAACGAGCCCCTAAACCACATCTATTAGCAACCAATCCACCTAGCCAAGGATTAGAGAGAAACGTGCCTTAAACCTAAGCAAGAAACCAAGCCCAAGCAAGCAGCAACAACCTACGGCAAGCAGCAGTCTCGCCGGAGCAGCAGCGGTCTCGGCGGACGAGCACGACAAAGGGCGGCGCTTCTGGTGGTTGCTTCGGCGCGGCTTGGGGGCTGAACCAGACGTGGAACAGCGGCTGGTGACAACGTCTTGGTGGCTGGGATGGTGCTGCACGGCCAGGGGAAGGGCTGGGGCGACGATGGAGAGGAGCGGTGCTCGACGGTGGACGAATGGCGGCTGGACCGACGAGAGGCGCGACTCGCGTGCAGGCTGAGCAGTCCGGCGACAGGCGGTTCCGAGCAGCTAGGGGCGGCGTTGCTTGGCCAGGAGGAGCTGGGGTGGTAGTTTAGTGGCGAGGGAGGGTGGTGCACGGTAATGGTCAGTCCGGCGCGAGCTGGTCCGGCGGTGAGCAGCAAGGGAAGGCGTCGGGAAGAAGCAAAACACGAGCAGAAAAGAAGGAAGAAGAGAAGAAGAAGAAGAAGAGAGAGAAGAGAGAGAAGGAACAGTGGGTGGAGTTGGTGGTGTGGTCAGCGGACGTGGGGGAGTCGGCGGAAAGTCAGCCGAACTGGGGAGCGAGAGAAAGAGAGAGAGAGAGAGGGAAAAGAGCGTGGGTCCAATGATTATCTACAAAAATATCCCCCAAAATTCATCCTTGTTTGACACTTGTCCCGCCAAAATTACCACTTTATCCTTGGCCCGGGTACCAATTTACGGGCTAACTTATCCTTATCGAGCCTTGTCGGCCGACCTCTCTTGGGTGCGAGGCCCAACGGGCTTTGCTAGGCTCATTTCCGTTTCTTGCGTCAAATTTCCGATTCTTCAATTCTTTTTCGAAATTGAAATTCTAATGGCAAACTCGTAAAAATTACGAGGCGACGTCCTATGGCTCGGTCTGTAAATCTTTGAGAATTCGACACTAAATTTGGATCGTAATTCGTGGTCAAATTCAATTAATCGCAGCTATAGTTCATCTCAAACTAACGGGCGGTTTTTAGGAATAAATCATCGGTAGCCTTTTCCCTTTGATTAGTATTCTCTGGGTGATCAAGCCAGAGCGAGAATTTACTAATAGAGCAATCAACGAAATTACCATTTCATAAATCACCAAAATTAGTCGAATTTTTCAGGATATTACACTTATCATGAAAATGGCGATAGCTTATCATAGATATTGTGATAGCTTATCTCTAAAAAGGGTGATAACTTATCAAGGAAATGTGATAGCTTATCAAGATGATAGTGATAACCTATTAGGGAAATTTGTGATAACTTATCATGGGAATTAGTGATAACTTATCTTGATTTATAATCTTTGATATGCGTTATATGGTTTAAATTGCCATGAGAAAAAGGATGAGCTATGTTGCAAAATGCCTAGATTAAATGACAATCTTTGAGCATGCTTATGTTGAATTGGAAATTAAATGGTCAATGTTATTAGTGTTTGAAAATGAGCGCGTTTTCATGATATCCTTGTACGTATAGAATTACACGTCATAAACACTTGTCATTGGCTAATTTCCAAAGATAAGAAAAGGGACTTGAATGATTGCTATGTGCGCATGGTCATATAAAGGTTCAAATTGTGTCCGGTTATACCAGAAGACCGCCAACCTAGGGTTTGGTCGTGCCCAATTTGGTAATTGGATGCCGTCGCGGGGGCGGGGTGAGACGAAGTCATTCGCGAATGAAATTCGGAACAAACCCATTTATGGGATGTCGTCATTGCGGTTGATGAGACGATGCCGTACCCGACGGAACGGGATGAAGCCCGGTTATGCCGGAAGATCGCCATCCTGTGGGATGTGCCGTGGTCCGAGGAGTCGTTAATAATCCGAACTATCATGAGTGCAATGTGCATCGTTGAGAGCGACGTGCCTGAGGATGATAATTTATTATGTTTGGATTATTAAATTGTTGTTGTGCATGGTTATGCAACGAAATATTCTTGAGTGTGCCTCTTAATTATGCACGTTATTGTGACCATGTTATGTGCTTGTTGGAGCGATTGCCATGTTAGGATGGTTAGTAAATGGGTGAGATAACCGCCTCATGTATTTAGTTTAGGCAAAGCAAGGGCTTTGCTATTGATCTGCCATCGATAGTGACTTACACGTTTAGGGTGATCCAGAGGCAACTTGTTGCCCCAAACGAGGTTTAGGGAGCTACTTAATGAGTTTATCTCATTGTTTTTTGTTAAACTGTTTTTAGGACCGCGGTTATGAGTCAGCGTCCTATGCGGTTCGGGGTGCCCATGAATATGGGCACAGTAATGACTGAGCATCCGGTCGGATCAGATAGAGCCTTTCAGAGTCATGTGATGACCGTCTGGGTCGATGAAGAGTTGACTATGTGGGTACCGCATAAGTTCATAGCCTGGTTCATTAGGGAGGGAGATGAGCTCTTTGGTCCTATTAGAGAATTCGACGGGCCCCCTGGTGGAGGTCCTGGCGAGGAGGTCTGGGATCCGATAGACCTCGACCCTTCTGATGGGCATGTCTCTGATCCAGAGACTAATCCTAATGCTGAGGAGTCTAACCCGGAGCCTCCTCCTAGTTATGGCAACATGTGGTAGGGGTTAGGGTGCCCCACCTCTTTGACCGATTGCCCCTTTTTGTATGATCAATCCTTGAGAAAGCCGCCCAAGATGGGCTTGTAAATCTGTAGCTTTAAAGTTTAACCTATATTTATAAAATGGCTCATTAGTGTTTTTCTGTTAATGTGTTTTCCTAGCCATTTCCTTTATTATTTTGTGATTGGGAGTTTATACGTTTCCGCTTGCATCTAATAAAAGATAAAAGAATGGGTCAGCGACGCGTCCTGGGACGTCACAACATAACAACCGAGGAGGGATATTAGCGTTCCCGAGGGAACGGGGCATGACAGTACATTTGTATTCTACTATGTGAATTCATTTTTGTTGCAAATTAAACGTTGCCATAAGTGCCTAAAACTAAAGGTGCATTTTGAGCCTTTAGTATCACTTCAAAAACAACATGCTACTAGACATTTGATTAATTAATAATTCAATTTAATTAGTAAAAGATTGCTAACATTTTATGGGGGAAAATTACAAAAAAAGTTCTAAACTTAATGCAATTGTGCCGGTTCAATCCTAAACTTATTTTTTTGATCAATTGAGTCCTAAACTTTTTGCAATTATGCTAATTCAGTCGATCCGGCCAAATTTAGCCAGCCGACGCTGATGTGGATGCCGGCCAGTGCCGACCGACAAATTTTCAATAATATTTTATTTTTTGAATTTGTTATTAATTTTTTATTTCTCTTTTCTTTTTCCTTTAGTTTTCTTTCTCTTATTTTTTCCTCCTTCCTCCTTCTTCTGACGATCGGCCAGAGGGGAGGGCCGGTCGCCAGACTGAGGCGGTCAGCTAGTGGTGAGCTCGCTTCACCATCGCTAGGCAAGGCGAGCTGTTGCTAGATTTGAGCGAGGTCGAGCTCGCCTCGCCAGTGGCTGGACGAGCTCAACCTCGCCTAGATCCGGCGGGGGCTCACCCTCACCAGATCCGGTGAGGGCTTGCCTCACCAGTGGCTAGGCGAGCTCGTCCTTGCCCAGGCTGGATGAGCTTGACTTCGCCCTCGCTAGTGGCTCGGCTAGCTCGCCCTTGCCTAGCGACAGCAAGGCGAGCTCGCCACTAGCCGCTCGCTTCATTCCGGCAATGCCGGAGCCAGAGGAAGGAGGGAGAAGGAAAAAAAAATTCGAAAAAAAAACGAAAAGATTCAAAATTAAAAAAAAATTCGAAAAAATAAAATATTATTAAAAAATTATCCGTCGGTGCCGTCCGGCATCCACGTCAGTGCCAGCCAGTCTAATTTGGTCGGATGGACTAAATTGACACAATTGCAAAAAGGTTTAGGACTCAACTAGCCAAAAAAAATAAGTTTATGACTGAATCGGCACAATTGTAATAGGTTTATGACTTTTTTGGTAATATTCCCCATTTTATGGAGGAGAGAAATGAACAATTTTGTTTATTTTAATAACTTAATATTGATGGAGACAATTTCAAAACAACTTAGTAAATTTGAAAAACGAATTTTAAATCCCACTCAAAATCCCAGATTTTCTAAGGAAATCAGACAAACAAGTCATCGGGAGGAACTGCTGGTGCGGACCGTTTACATAAGTCCAGAATTTTGAAAAATCTGCTAAAGGAGCAAAATTTGCCTGGAAGGGTATATGGAGCAATCTGCTCTTCGCCAGCAATCTTACACAGACGGGGGTTACATAAGGTATTTAAAATCCTACTCAGCACCCTTTTGTCCCTTATCTCCTGTATTGGATCGCATGTAATTTCTCCAATGTGTAGGATAAGAGAGTCACTGCACATCCATCTGTTGCAAACAACCTCGCTTGTGAAGATATGGATGGTGCTAAAGTGGTCATTGATGGCAAGGTGATCACGAGCAGTGGACTTGCATCTGTCACAGATTTTGCACTGGCCATCATTAGCAAACTTTATGGCCATGGAAAGGTAAGAAGTGTTGCAGAAGGCCTCGTTTTTTAGTATCCCAGAAGTTAGGGAGGTCCATGGGCTTACTCCACAAAAATCAGCTTCCCGGCTCATCATCCCTCTACTAAGAGAACTATGTTTTTGCATGGACAATGCCCTCATGTGGGATTTTAGGGTTCTTCAGCTGAATGGAGAGAAATTTTGTTTCTCCTTTATTTCAGAATAATGTGAAAGCTGTTCATTCGAGAGAATTTCATGCACTTCGTGCGGGTGCTGATTGGCAGGTAAGATATTTACTGGCACTGTATATGCTCATTTGAATTATAGTTCACATTGTTAATCTTTGTATTCAACCACCGTAAGGCTGAGGGGACTTGTTTGGTTACAGGTTCTGCCGTTGCCTAATGCAGATGGGTTGTGGATGATTCATTTGCTCCCGATCCAATCTATATTCAAGATGGACTGATGAGGAAAAAGAAAGTGGGGAGATGTCAAAACAAGCTTAGTGTATCTGCTGAGCTGCTTTTACTTATTTATCTTATTTTCAGCTTCAAAGGCTACGCATCTAATGGGAGATCGAAGTTGGGAATGTCTTTTTCTCATTTCTTTCCGCAAATGTTCTTTTTCTTTTGTTTTCTTGTTTTAGTAGTAGTCTGATGATCCAGGTCTTTGATGAGTGCTTCTTGTACATACCCTCATTTCTGTGGAATTCGTTAGGTACAGTTCGTAGACTCACCATATGTATGCTTAGATTGTCTCCTCTTTATATGAATTATCCACAGTAAAGAAATGACAAATTTGTTTTGTTTAAGCATAGGATGATCTTTCTATGCTTTTCTTTTCGGTGGGTAAATGGGCACAGGATGTTAAAACTGATATGCTCGATCAGTCAAGCTCCATAATCACTTCTGAAATGATTGTCGACATCTTTATGCGTGGATTCGCGATTTAAGATTATTATGGATGGTGCAAATGCAAACCTCAGAACAATCAAAGAGTGATGTAAGAACATTAAACCTAAAGATGTTTTGATTCATGACCTCAGATCATCCTATACAGATATGATGCAGCAACTTCTAGAGAACTCTCTCGTGGCCAAAACACGACTGGTTGGTGCTATTCACCTCACAAATCTAGCACACTAATCCAAAAGAGTTCCGCTTCTGCCTAGACATCAAACTAAGTATGGTTCACAACTTATTTACAGCTGGTCATCAATCCTTGCCGATCTATAGATACAGCTACCTAATCTCTGCATAATCTTCTTCGAAAGAGTACGATCATATGATAACATGTACATCCCAACACTGGAGTTGCCCACGTATCCAAGACTCTGCACTCAAACATCTAAATTCAATCTCAAGGCAGTCTACCACGGGCCTGTCAGCATCCTCCTCAAGCAGATTCTTTTACCTCCCCATTGCTGGTTCACTCTCTCTAAGATCGGCACAAACACAAAAAGGAACCAATTAGGATCTGGCACTTTTAAATAGAGAAATCCCATAGTTTAGGTAAGATATGTAGCAGACTCATGTGACGTTTTTTCTATTTAAATTAGTAAATTGAACAACCGGATAATTTCTTGGAACCCAATTAACATATCGAATGTCTGTTTCATTTCTAGAAGTTAAAGAGAGAGAGAGAGATCTCATTGCTTTATAGAGATTATTATGGAGAGTTCAACTCCTCAGTAGTCGCCTTCAACTGACAGTCACTTTCAAATCACTTTACTTTTGAAGATTCTAGTGTTGGCATAAACTGTGTTCTCCAACTGAGAAGGGCTAAAGAGAAAGCAAGCGGGACAGATCCACCAAAGAATGTTTTAGATACTGGAAGGAATATTGATTCAGATGGAATCTCTTGAGGCCAAATGATAGCAACGTATCATGTAGTGGCTCTAAGGAGCACTTGTAGTTGCCGTTACATTATCACATCGAGACAGGACAGCCAACAGAATTTGTACCGAAAAGTGTAAACCCTTTAGGTCATTTCTCTGCTCATATACTGAATTAATCATGAAACTGGGGAATTCAGGTTGACTATAGAGATTGAACGCACCTGACTCTTTTGCATTTCCATCAACTCCTCCTGCATCAGTATACCACAAGAGAACAAAAATACGAATGAATTAGGACATATTGAAACAATCAAACTTCTTCAGTATGGCAGCAACATTAGTAACTTGATCAGGTACCTGTTTCATCTGTAATTCCTGATTAAGTTCTTTAGGTTTTTGAACTTCAGCTTCAAGTTCTAAAGTATAGGCCTGCAAGTATTCCATACCCAATAAGATGACATATCCAATTTTTCCAAGTAAAAACTACCTAAACTTTGAAACTGCCACTGCCAGGCATCAATTCCTCGACCCTATCTGGAAAACAGTGTTCAATTCAAGCCTCTACATTCTCAAGTGGTCCTTCGCTTCAACACTGCTTTAGCAGATGCACAGTTGGTTCTGTTGACATTATATGGCCTTGCCTTTATCAGGTTGAGTACCTTAGTTATTTCCACTATGTAGCTAACTAGTGACCTCCAGGATAACACAAGCTTACAAGGGCCAACTCAGTGCTACAATATTTTGGTGACCATAGCATAAACAAACACCATGATTTAAAAAATAAAAAAATTCAGAGCACATTAGTGGGTAACAAGAGTCCTTCAAGAGTTGCTTTCAGTTTATTCAGAAATCAAACTTTATCTACCATTTTTCATGAGCAACTGAGTTATTTAATGACATCAAATAACAGCCATCAAGAACCAACTTGATATCAAAGAAAACTGCAATGAAAAAAAAAATCCCCTACTTTAGTTTCAGGTACCATGGGAAAACAATACATTAACAATAAGAACGAGCAGCAGAAAAAGAGTTTTCGCAGCAGTGTACTGACCTGCTTTCGAGCTCGAGACCGAGCAGCTGACTCTCTGTTCTTTATCATTCTCCTCTGCCTTCTCTCAACGACTTTCTCCAGAGCACTGCCAGATTTTCTTCCCGGGCGAATGGATAAGGAACTGGTGAGAGTGAAGACGAATCCACCGTGTTCTTAGAAATTACATCCGGAGATATATGGTTAGCAGGAGATACTGTCTGAAAAGCAACTCCCCTGGTCTCTAACCCGGTCATGCCAACTCCGGTCTGCAGCCCGCCACCCTGAACTAAGGAACTTTTAATGGATGCATCTGTCATCCCGATTGCCCCTCTTGACCCTAAACCAGGCAACTGGGAATTATTTGCTATACTTATGGAAGAGGCAAAAGGCATAGTTGCTGGCTTGGGGAGGAGGGGCAGATCGTGCTCTTGCTGGAGCTGCTGGTGGTTGGATCTATACTGCCGACATTGAATGCTAAATTATGAGGCTGACCAGGCATTGACTTACTGTTCTCGGCAACCTGATTCACAACAAATCCATTGTTCTGGCTCGGATGTTGAAAGTTTAGACCCAAACCAGTACTATTACTAAGCAGCGGAAAATCACCAACAAACCCACTATTGTTGGGTATTCCCACTTGTTGAGCATCTTCTCTTACAACTCCTGCTCTGAGTAAGAACTCCACCAAGGTCATCTCTCCAAGAGTAGCTTCTGCAGCATATCGAATCCTCCACCCTTGTTCCCATCCTTAGCAACAGTACTCCCTTTGAGCAGGTCTTTCCAAACTTCATCAACTGTTTTTTGACTAAGAGTCCGTGGCAACGTCAACAACCCTTGTCTCTGTATATTACCCTCTAGAAGGCCTCCATCCCCTGTACCCGTGGAAGACATCATTGCCTGAGTCTCTTCAGCCGTCCAAATATTTTTCAGAAGTTCATCCATGTTCATCGACCCAAAACCCTTTCCAAGCCCACCCCATGTGTTTTGAAACTCATCAAAAGTCAAAGAGTATATTGACGGCTGCCGAGTTAAAGAGTGATTTCCGTGTGGTTTCCCAGCTAATCCTTCAGCAGGCGATGCATCAGCTATGCCTTTGAAATTATATTGAGAAGCCATCTTTCTCCAAAAGATTGGTCACAAGAAGTATCCTTCTCAACACCCTTTTAGTCCCGTCTCTTCAGATTTCTAGAGTTCAATGTCCATCAAATCAAAGTGTAAATGAGTATGAGTAAGAGTATGGAAGAATATAGAAGACCAAATTATAGTTCAACTTGTATGAAGAACAAACAACTCACATCCCAATAGACCCGAGCAAAATTAAATCAATAGAAATTTTGCATGTATATCTGCACTGCTGCGAACCCGTTTATGGAAACAGTTAGTACTCTGAATAAAGGCAAACTTGAAGTGTCTCACAGGTAAAACTAACGCATATCCAGCTGTTTGCAAAGCAGAGCTGCATACATTTCTTGCTCCGAGTAAAAAGTAGCTTCCGAAATACACAAGCTTAAGTTATTTTTACAAATTCATCACATAACACCGGCAATTTATGCCTTGAAATGGCATTTGAATAGATATGTGTTACAAGAATATGCTAGCAACACAATATTTCCCAGTTGGTTTAACCTTATAATACACGTAAAAGAAATTAATTTACAGCCATAGCCTAGTTTAGGTACTCAGGACAGTCTTTCACCTAAATCAACTAATAGATGAAAAGCATCATTTCGAGTCGGATGGAGAATCCCTGGGAAGGTCATCATCGCATACAATGAGATACATAATGACCTGCAAACCAGATTGGTGCAGGATGTGAACTGGTTCAGTCGATCGATCTCCGGACTGTCATGACCCCCCCAAGCCATTACAGCCCAACCCCAAGGAAAATTTAATAGTGTCGAAGCGTACTAGACACTCGGGCATCCCGTTAGCGAGGTGCAAGCATTTCTGACATATTAACTCCTCCAAGTTCTTGCGAAAATTGATTTAATCTGATCTTCCATAGCCCTAGTTTGTGATTTGTCGGCTTCCATGATTCACAGATTCGAACGCTCTCATATCAATTTGTAATGAACTAAAAGAATCTACAGTAAAATGAGAAGAGAATTGATCATTCCTAACTTGATTTCCCTTAAACAACCAAGATGCTTTGCTAATTAAACATCCACTATATATTACTTTCTGGGCATGGGCTCTACTGCCTTGTGACATGACACAGACAGTTTCATTCAAAGGACATGGAATTCTCGTGGGTTTAGCTTTTGCATTAACAGGTCTGCATGTTCAGGGATCCTGGCAGTGTACTGGATCTGCAAAAACTTATCTGACGAAAACTGTCATTTCAAATTCCTGAACTGAGGCCAACTAATCTTAATCTCATCAAAAAATATGAAAAATAAGAAGTTTCCAGATTGAAAAAAGACAAGAGGACATCTCTGAAGAATCGGCACTGACATGACATCCGAACAAAGCATCCAGAAGATGCAGATCAGAAGAGAATAATAACTTTTTTCTCAGATCATAAGGGAAAGAGTAGCAGCTTTTCGCAAAAGTTGAGGAACGACCCATTGAATTGAACTGACCACAACAGCTCAATCTCAAAACCGACCAACATCGCAATTGGCCACCCCGCGAAAGCCCAAAACGACCTCGCGAAGCGTGATGAACGATGCACTCCTCTCTCTCTCTCTCTCTCTCTCTCTCTCTCTCTCTCTCTCTCAGAAAACAGAGCATCGACCCAACCTCCCAACTTCATAGCCAAACCGCAACGTGAACGCGAAACCAGAAACCAAAGCGTATAACCCACAAACCCGAGTACGAAAATACGAAC